CACTTTTTTAATTGAAAGGTTCTGAAGAATCTTTAACACTAGCCGGGACGGCCTATTTTTATTTTCTCAGTGATGGGGGGGGGGAGGCTTTCTGGCCCCTCCTTTTTTTTAATATCTAATATATTTACATGCTGCTAGTGAGAGAACCTGTTGTTAAAATATTTGAATCCCACCACTGGGTTTAACCAATAAAAATTACAAACAAAAAGGAGTAAGTTTGAGATCTAACCAATAAAAAAGGAGTAAGTTTCAGATTTTACCAATAAAAAATTAGTAAGTTTCAAATATAAAACACTCAAAAGACAAACTTTAAAAAATCATTTGTTTTCCTTTGGTGAAAATCTCATGAGTGTTGCAACAGAAAAGCAAGGCACTTTTATTGATAACTGCGTCTACAAAGAAATACTTCAATAAAATCTACTCTGTGATGTAATGCTGGGATGATAGCTCATTTTTAAACTAAAATGTCAATAAAATCCTTTTTCTCATGGATGGTGAACATTATTGAATGTCAAGTATGAGTACATTGTTGTAGAACTGTCAGACAATTCCAAAAAAAAGGCCGCAGGAGCTAGTAGTTATACCTGCCTGGGGGACGGGTATTTCTGCTAGTACAAATAATGCAGCAATACTTTTTATACAAAACGGTTAACCATATAACAAAAGAATCGTCGAAAGTTGATTAATCAAAAGCTTGCCTACTTCCAACATCTCCGACAGCTACTTTAAGTTAAACAGCTTTCTGACCTTCAGCGTCCTTGCGGGAATTTTACGTTCCTGAATCACGTAGGCTTTGTTGATCACTTTTCCTGCCAAAAGACAACTTAAGACTGAAAAGAACACATGAAAGTGTCGAAACTAGTTTTTATATTGTCAAGATTTTTGACAGTTTATGAGCCATTTACTGTGATTTTTTAATAAACATGCAACTATTTGAATTATCTGACCACGTTACATATTGTTACGACAGCGGAAGTCACGTGTCGCTGGTAACACGTAATGCGTATCTAGAAGGATCGGGGAACATCACGAATAATCCAGTATTTGCTAGACGCCCTCTATTCCTGTATATATGCAGGCAAATAAAGCGAGATAATTAATTGAATTGCAGACAGGCAGAGATAGAGACGGACAATTGAGTCAAGCGCAATAGTGACCGTAAGCAAAGTGCGTGAATCGTTGTAAATTATAGCGTGTATAATTTAAAGTGACCGTGGAAATTCTGTGTATTGAGAAAGAATAAACTAGTTTCATTTAAGAAAGGACTTGTTTCGCTGTAGTTCCTCGGGAAGAATTTTTACGGGAAATTAACAAACGACCAGAGACGTAACAATATGTTATTACGCCAATTCACAGAAAATTTTGGATCGTGATGATACAACAACTGCTAGATCATTTCAGCTAGTAGCTTACTATATACAGATATTGTAAGATTTATTTTGGAGGTAGAAACTAAATATTTACAGATCAAAACCACCCCTTGCCACCACTAAGTCGGCGCTTATATTGAAAACTGAGGTAACTTGTGGACCTTTACTGGTATCTTCAACCTACTATCTGGTTTTCTTCTGTCGTTATAAATTTTATACACTGTGGTACTAGACTCAATCATAATAACACCCTGCAATATAACATTAGGCGGTCAGTTGTATGCTTCTCCTCATCCAGCCTCGCCACTGACTAAGAAGAAGGAACCAAAAATTTGCAATGTTTCTTTGGCAAGTAAAGGAGGCATAATTTTGCACTTTTGACAAGGTTACAAGAGAAGTTGTCTGACCTTCCACTTGTCATCAGATTACTAGTTCAGCTATACCTTAGCCAACAACGCTATCAAAGGAAATACCATAGGATCTCCTTCTTGCCTATGTAATGCAGAAGAGCTATTGCAAATATTCAACAACATGGTGGATAGAAGATTCAGCCTTCCTTCAGAGGACAAAGGACCAATGCTGAGGAAAGAACTGTAGTGATGAATCCAAACAACCCAAGATCACTGTCAATATGGAAAATATGTAAAAAGACTTGAATACTCTAAGGAAAATCTACAGCAATATAAATCAACAATCACTTTAAACATCGTCGCGTTTTCACTATAACTGGATCAATTTTCGTACTAGAAACGACGTTTTCCATTTCTTCTGTACTTCTCACAATGCATGAAAAAGATGTGGATAATTTTAGAAGGAGTTTTACGTTTTTAAAGTGTATTCATACAGTAACTATGAATAATGAATACACACAAACTTAGTATTTGCAAAACAAAATTCAATTTGATGTTAATAGCGTTTTACTTATTTTGTAGGATATACAATTATTATTTATTTAATTTTTCAATAAATGATTTTATTTCTTCTTGCTGAGTTGTAAAATATTTTTATAGATTGAGAAAGTTCTTAAATAATTTTCAAAGGGATTTTTCTGGTTCATAATGTTGTATGTTACATATTTCATTATAATTTCAGAAACACAATTACTAATGTATAATAAATAGAGCTCCATAGTCAGACCATTTCCCCTATACTCTGTTAATAGTTTGTTTTGTAGGTGTAACATACTCTTACAAACTCGGAAGTCCGTGCTAGAAAGATATCGAAGTTATTTTATATTGTAGCTGAAAGAAATACTATACATGTATATTATAAAGCCTGATCATGGATTATGAAAATGAATTTTTAATTAAAAAGCTGAATGAACAAAACTTCAACTCTAACAGCTGTAAGTGTAATCATTTATCATTGTAGATAATGTCACTAAACTAACTTACTAAGTTTAATTTGAATTGAAATTTATGTTTAACTTAACTTCTTAAGTAAGTTTAAACTTAAAGACAACTGTAAAGTGTAATATGAGTATACATTATAATTAACAAAGTAACACAACTTCGAAGGCAAGTAACTTTAAATCATTAAATTAATAATAACTCAAAATTTTGTTATTGATATAGATGATGACACCAAAATAAAACCTCTTTCATGCTGTCACTGTCAGTGTGCTGCTGCTTATTCCTGTCTTAGCTCTTGTGCCTTAATGTTTACACCCAAGAAGTTACATATACGATAGTATTTTATATTGCAATTGAAGTGTTACTGATGCCAGTGATAACAGATATGATATTCTTATTTTTACTTTTATAAGGTTTTTAGCCTTTCACAACTCTTTACTTAAATTATTCTGCAGATTTAAAACAGTCTCTAAATTTGTTTTGGAAATATTAATATGCATAACTATAAGTATTAATATTATACTAGTGATAGTAAATATGATAATTACATTAAATCTTAGATAAGTAAGTAGTAAAGGTAACAAAATGTTTTGCATACCATGTGTTTACACCAGACTATAACATTTGGTGTGCATAGGGAATGTGTTCCCTGCACACTTTAGTACTGAATAAAATAAATTCTTTCAAATTTTTAGAATCTGATCAATATTTGTTTGCTCAGTTTTGTCTCTGCTTATTGCAGTTATTTATGATAATATGCAAGTAAATGCTTCTTTATACTAACCAAAATAGGCATTAGATGTGTTACAGAAAGCATTAGATAAGGTGCCTAACATAAGACTTGTTACAAAAATTAAATCTGTGGGTGTGGGAAAAATATTATCAAATTGGATAGAAAATTGGCTGGAGAGTAGGAAGCAGAGAGTAATAATAAATAGAGGTGTGGGAAAAATATTATTAAATTGGATAGAAAATTGGCTGGAGAGTAGGAAGCAGAGAGTAGTAATAAATAGAGTTAGATCAGACTGGATCACAGTTACAAGCAATGTGCTTTAGGTCTCTGTGCTTTGTGATTTATATTTATGTTATTGACTCTGGAATGATTAACAAAATTTTGAAGTTTGCAGATGACATTAACATGTAGTGGCTAACTATATCAAAGATGCTGCAGACTTGCAGTTACAGGGAGATTTAGATCATTTGATGCATTGGGCCAATATGTGGCAGATGATGTTTAACTATTCAAAGTGTAAGGTGATGCATGTAGGTTTTCACAGTTCCAATTATTGTTAACATTTAAAGGGTGTGGACTTTGTGTACTTAGATTTTCAAAAAGATTTTGATAGTGTCACATAGAAGATTGGTTGAGAAAATTGCATCAGTAGGGAATGAGAAAGACTAGTCAATTAGGTTGTAATTTAGCAAATGGAATTCAGTCAAACTGGACTGTTATTACAAATGGAGTGTCTCAAGGGTCAAAGCTTGGACCATTGTTTTGCTTTTTCTTATTCACATTTAAGATATTATTAGAGGTATAATTAATAAAGTTTGATGATAATATTAAACTCTCAGGTATTTCTAACTGTATTGAGAGTTTTTTTCTACTACAGTGTGAGTTGAATAAATTTGTATTTTGCAAATATTTGACAATTGCCTTTAGTTTTAGCAAGTGCATGGAAATGCATTTGGGTTATTATAATTTTGATCACACCTTTAATATAAATGGCTATGTTAAGGTTAAAATCTCTAGAACTGGACGATTAGTAGAATTTGACAATTGGTTAATCAGTTGATCACGTACAACTAATTAATTATTCTCAAATGGAACTTTAATTGTGGGAGTATTTGAGAATAGTAATAATCAGAAACATTAATGTTGATTTATTGATTTTTTTGTGAGTTCATGACACTGGTTAGTTAAGCTGAAAAGCAATGAATTAATTGAAAAATAAAAAATGCCAACATTTATTCACTTGGACCGATGAAATAATTGAAAACAGTAATAACACTAATTTCTATTTGTTGATTATTTTTCATGACGTCAATCAATTTAATTATAATTTTGATTAATCAATTATTTTACTTGATAGTAATTGATGTAATTAATACTCATAGGTAATCAATTATATTAATTAATGGCAGTAATTGCCCAGCTCTAGGTTTCTGAACTTATTTGCTCTTGGAAAAAGAGGTTACATTATTATCTGGGGAATTAATAAGATTAAGGTCTCTTATTTCTTTGCGTTAGATTCTGAAGACAAAGTATGAGAGAACAAGTTTAAGACATGAAAAAGACAGGCTAGGTTCCAGTTAAGATAGTTTTATTTTTCTAACAGGGTGATTATCTTATGGAATGACTAGCCATTCGCAACAGTTGTGGCTGGAACCTTAGAAAAGTTTATGAGGGGAATTAGTGATTTCTACTAAAATAAAGGGTGGGTCAGTCTTGAAGGAATAAGATATTTTTTATACATATACTTGTGATTTTTCTTTAAAATATTTTGATGATAAATAATAATCACAAGTTGATTTACTTATACAAAAGTTTCAGCTGTTAAAAGTCAACATGGTATCAGACAGTTATTAATATTCAAGATGTTGGTACCTCTTTCTTTTTTCTTTGTCATTATCAAAACCCACATTTAGTCAAAATTGATGAAAGGAAGGATATATTTACATTTTTTCTTGATATTAATGATGTCTGAAGTATAAAAGTATTTCCAATTGATTTTGAAACTGGAGTTTTGTGTTTTAGAATTTGTAATGTTATTATTATTATGAAGTTAAAATATATATATATATATATATGTGTGTGTGTGTGTTTAAATATAAGAAAAAGCAAGATTACTAAAGCATATTTAATTCATTTTATTCTTCAAAGGAAACATCTAAAACATGAAATTGAAATTACATTTAGCTATTCATGTCCATATTCAACAAAAGTTGAAAATATTTTAAACTGCACACACTATATCACCAGAAAAAACATTTCACAATAATATAACTAATCAAAAAAATAATAATGTTGTTGTACTTTAAGTCTGCATCTTCAACTGTACTTCTAATTATTAATTTTTTTGTTCAGAAGGCCTAGATCATTGTCTTTTTGTGAATGGTTTACAATTTAGCTGATGAGGAAAACACATACATATATACATCAGTTTTCTCCAGTAGGTATAAAGGATTATCTTGAGTATATTATATATTTTCTCCAGTAGGTATAAAGGATTATCTTGAGTATATTATATATTTTTTCTCATATTTTTGCTTGATGATACATATGTAAGATGATACTACAACTTTATTTTCCGAGACTAACTAGATAGGGATTAATACTTGTATGCAAATGCTGTAAGACTGATACTGTACCTTCTTTAGTTTGGTGTTTATAACTCCACTGCCTTTATTTGTTCATTTTTCATCTAAATTATTATATATTCTACTTTAAGACGATATAAATGCCAATATCTGTTATTATAAAATGAAGTTTAAGAAGACTGTCTGAATTTTACTCTCTCACATAAATAGACATCTGGATAATTTAACTTCAGAAAGTGAGAGAGAGAAAAGAATATTTAGTATAAAAACATTTGTTAGGTTGTTTATAAATAAACTAAATTCTGTGTTTAAGAGTATATTATTAACATTTGGTTTTTAATGGCTTAAATGCAGATGTTCAAGAGTTGACTTTAAATAGCCTTGGTGTGGATGGTTTATTAGTAAAAAGACAATTGGTGCAATCCCTGGCTGAAGAAACTAATGGTTTATTGAAGAAAAATGTGTATAAAAATTATACGCAATTTATTGAAACAGCAAAGGAAATCTCTTGTATCCTTTTTTGTATATGATTATATTACATATATACCAACCTTTCTGCAGTTTGTGTAATTAATCCAGGTTTTTGAGACAATTTTCTGTTTTTAAATTTCTTGGACTTAATTGCAGGTTCTTAAAAAAGTCAAAATAAAATGTTACATTCCTTATAAATTAACTTAATGCTAAAGGGAAAAAATGCAGTACCTCTTGTTAGTATTTTATCAAAATCAACTTTGTTTAATTTATTAATTTTAATCAACTGGATTTTTGTTCTGTTATGGCACTACAGAGCAATGTTTATAGTTGTGGTATTTAAATATAGCATATGTTTTTATCCTCTTGTAATATTATAGAATATATTCTGAATTAAATCTTTGTTCTATATATGTGCAGATTTCACAACACATGGTTGAACAAGCTGTTAAGTTTATTTCATTTTAAAGCGACCTTTATTCCTTTGTTGTTCTCAGAAATGAATAATACCTATTCTTATCCAGGAAAAATATTGCTCAATACAACATGTTGTATAAGGATCTTGGCAAAAATGTCCTTCAGTGGTTGTTCAGATGATATCTAAAGGTTATGGCCCCACCTATATTTTAATGTGAATGACCAGTCACCCTTTGTAAATGTGAGGTTTCTGTGAACTGAGAAAGGTCACATTTCGTGATTCTCATCTAGAATGTCAATTGAATAGTATTATCTAGAAATTTTTCATCTATAGTTAGTCCTGGGTTCAGAAAAAGTGATCATCGTGTATAAGTAGCAGCAAGTACACATATTGTGTTTAGTGTTGAATAAAGATTATTCATTTTGTTGTACACTCTGTGTCCAGTCTCATTTAATTTTATGCTGACTTAATAAGAGACTTAGTACCACTTTGTAATCAGTATCTTGATCAAAACTCCTGTTATCTAAAGGATCTATCTGATAAATCTCTAACATTAATTGAATTTTGCCTGGACATACCACACAATGGTAAGTCATAGCATTAAGGACCTAAGGACTCTGAAACAGTGGCAGCTCTAGCATATTTTAAGATAGTTATGCCCACTTTGGTATTCGAAGTATAATGAATGACTATAATATCAGTGTCAGAAGTTAATATCAACTATATTTTGATTTTGTTAATAAATGGAATATTTCATCATGACAGTCATGAGATGGTTTGCCTCATATCATTTGGAAGAATTAATTCATAAGTGCAAATTACATGTAGATCTACGTACCACATTCCATAATGCTTATTTCATAGAGTATGCCTAAACAATATTAATGTAAAAGTCAAATGCACATGTTGATTGGATATTATATGGTGACTGGCTATACAATAAATTTTATACACGAAACTTGTCATTTTGCTGAAGATTTTGAATATTGATGGATAGTTGGAAAGATGAGGTCATTGAATATTTCTTTAGGTGTCTAAAAAGTCACATTTAAATTATCTAAGTATAAATCTTCTAGAGTTTTCTTTTTGACGTGTTGTTCAGATCTGGAAAGTGAGATGTACCAGTTGAGTCATATGCTTACAGAACAACAAACAATTCTCAGTACCCTTATGGACATCTCCATCACTGGAGAAAAAGGTAAAGTCACTGCAGTAAAGCTTACATCTAAAACTTTTCCATGGGTAGTACTGTATGTACAAGTACTTTTAGTATTAGTTATATATCTAATATGAAAAAATGGTAAGTAAACAGTAAAACATAAACATATTTTTTAATGTTATTTTTAAGACAATGGTCATAAAATGTTTTTTGAACAACAACAACAAAACTGCACAATATACATGCACTACTAGATTTGATTGAAGTACATTAAAACAGTAACCTATTTTCCCCCAATTGAGCATGGGTTCCAGAAAAGTGGCTGGTTACTCAAATGGGTTGTTAGCTGAGAGGAAATTACTAATGTAAATAATAAGAGATTTATTTTAACTGAGAAGCAAAGTATTTATACTTACACACACACACAAATTGTTTATTTTTAATTAGAAGTAAATAGAGTAAGGCTCAATAACATGTGTCTAAAACTGCATGTGAAATGGCAAGTTAGCATCTTAATGCATTACCCATAATGCCTGACATAAATAGTTTTCCTTAACTTTGTACTCATTCTTTCAATTTTTTTCCAGCCTTTGTTAAATTTGACTTTTTTGTTTCAGATATACAGTAAATGTAAGATATAGAAAAAGTTGTAGTGAGCTTTAATAACTCATAAACACATCTAAATGATAAGTTTTTCAGAACCTTCTTAATTTAAAATTAATACATACTACAATTTTGGTTTAGTGGGAAGTAAATCTGAAGTTCAATCAGACAAGAAGGAGGAAGAAAGCAGAAAGAATTTGTCTTCACTTCTAGAAAAAGTGGAAGGCTGCGCTGTAAGTAGGAATTGGTCTAAGTTTGTTCATTCTGGTCATAACCAGTATTTGTCTGTAATGTCTTATTAATATTTTTATATTGAGGTTTTTGTTTTGAACTTTGTGATATTAGTTTTATTCCATCTGTGAATTTATTTTTTGTTAAGGAATTACTTCTCATAATGTTATACTATACTATATCATTAATGCAGTTTTTATAATAATCATTATATATATATAATGAAATTTATGTGTCAGAAAAATTTATATTATCAACTTTTAATTATTATTAATTCTAAAAAGTGTACGTTTTATTCATATTAATTCCCAGAAATTATGTAGAAAGTCTAGTACATTATGTAAAATTGTTATCCAATAAATTTAGGTAACTCTAAATTTTGAACTTAGAAAAAAAATGTTTTGATAGTTGTTGAAACATAATGAGTTCTGGGATTTCCACACACCTATTCACTGCATTTCTACTTACCATTCATCTAAAATTTGCCCGAAAGAAATGCATCTAGATACTCACATTTCTGAATAATCATAGTAAATAATTATATTTAATGAAGCTCTTTGGTGTAATTAAAAAAGGTACTTTTTATAAATATTTAGTTAATTTCAAAATTTAAAAAAAAATATTGAAATAGTTCTTTAATGGAATAACTAGTTGAAATAGGGAAAATAAATATACAATTATTTTAAGTTATATTTATAACTTACTGAAGAGGAAAAAAGAAGACTGGCAAGATCAATGACCAAAAATTAATTACACTGGACAACAACAAAAAATTTACTATTGGAGAAAACTAAAGTGATTTTGGGTAATTTGATGGTTCTGATTTTAAACATGTAGTCAGAATTTATCCATAACCTCTAGATTTTGAGTTATTTTGATATCTCAATATTTTATCAGCACAGAGTGAAATACCATGCAATCAGCTCAATTTAATGGGTGAAAGGCATATGGTTTTGATAACTTCAAACATTGAATTGATGCAGAATTCAAAATATATTGTTCATATATATTTTTTTAAAGTCAGTGGGGTTAACAGAAACAAAATGGCAGATCATCACATTTTCTTTAGCAAAGTTGCTGTTGTGTATAAAAAAAAATAATTTTGTGTATGCAAAAATTATGATTATTAAAAGCCATTTTAGCATTTTTGATCACTAGCTATAAGAGAATTTCATGTAGATTATGATTACATTTAAGTATTTAAAATTTTTTAATTGTTATTTTGGAATCTACTATAGAAAAGATTAAAAACATTTCAATATTTCCTCATGTCATATTCAAATATCTATTAATTTAAGGAGATGAAATATAGGGATCATTGGTAAAGTAACATTGGTGAGGATAATGAAGCTAACAGTATGGTACTGTGAATATGATAGAATAGGTAAATTAAGAATATTTTATGTCTTTGTTTAATTTTTGTACAATTGTATAATGCTTTATGGTGGTTTTTCAGTAGTATATGTATTTTGCATAAATAATTCAATAAAACACTAAAATATTCAAATAGAATCATAATGTACATAAAATTCCCCCATAGTTAGAGTGATGGTTATACATGCTAAATGACTTTTTATAATCATCTTATTTGCGTATACATCCTCTACATGAAAAATTAAACATTATTTTGTTTCTGTTAATCCCATTCATGTGAATTTGGTATCACAAAATTAAATTTTTTCTGTGTATTTCAGTGAGAATTTCTTTTCTCTCCAGAGGTCTTTTCCACTGGTTTGTAGATGACCAAGGTCAATGTGTCAGATGCCCTCCTACACAATCCAATTTCCCCATCCTTCAGATATTTTTTAAGTTTTGTATATTAGAATCATGTTTTCAAATTCTGTGTTCTTTCCTTTTGATGTAGCTTTGGTCTCCTGTATATCCAAATCCTTTTTTCACACCCACACAACATTTGGTACATCTGGGCATCTTCTTCAATTCTTGTCTCAGCTGATCTCAGCATTTTCCTCTCTGTCTATGAGCCATGAAATATCAGGTCACCAAGATTTGCATTTCTCATTCTCCCCCTGCTTTTGGGAACTAAGGGTTCCCTGGAGCCCCTCATTCTTTTGGGGTGTGCACACACATTTATCTCCTCCAGTGGACCTAACAAGACCAATGGATTCTTTGTCCTCAAATGTGAACCTCTCCTCTACTCGAGGATTTATCATGGTGGGTAAACTATGCCAGTACTACATCTTGTGTTCCTTACCAACCCCCAGACTGGACCTCCATCTCTTCACCAGTGCCTCTCTCTCATATTTGGCATTTCTCTGAATGACAGCATGACTTCTGGTATTTGGACCCAAGACAAGAATTCACATTAACATACTCAAACTTCTCACTGTTCCTCAGGAATGTGTTCACTTTTTACCTCTTCTGATGAATCACTTGGTTACAATCCACTCTAACAATTCCACTGTCATTTCCAACATCCACCCTCTAGGAGGCACTCGTTTCAGGCTTCTTTGCTTTTGGGCATTGGATTTCTTCTTCAGAGCTCATTCCCATTGAATCCATCTCATCACTTGTCATGTACCAAGAGCTATGAACTTTGTTGTGGACCACCTTTCTTGGTCAAGTCACATTCTACCCACAGAGTACTTTCCCCATATCCAAGTCTTTTGTTGGGTTTGCTCTCGGGTTGGGCACACCTTTCACAGACACCTTTTCTACTCCTTTCAATTCCAAGCTTCCTCTTTTCTGGTCCTTCATACCTTGTCCTTTGGCTTTAGCTGTCGATGCTCTCAGCCAGACCTAATCTCACCTTTTTCTATATACCTATCCCCCCCCCCCCATCCTTCTTCAACTTCTCTCTCAGGTCCTTGTCTTGATATGCAATACTTCTTGTTGAGTCCTCTTTGGCTAGCTCATCTGTAGTTTCCTCTGCTTTTTTGCTTAGTGTCCAGAACCCTCCTTCCTCTACCCATGTCTCTTCTCTGTTGTTTCAATCTCACACATCCCTTTCTTTTTCATTAAAGGATATCGTCTTTCCATCTTCACATGTACTATTGGTCACCCCTCATACAAACTAATGTGCCCTCTTCTTGCAGCCAAAGTTTGTCCAGTAGAGTCAAGGTGAGCACATACTATACAGTCTGATCATGCCCTAACCACATTACATGTATTAACTTGCCAACCATTTGTGTGCAGGTGCTCAGTTGGTCATGATCACCTTCTGTCCATCTATCCTTTCCCTCTCTTTCATCTTTGGAGAAGAGTATATGCTGGTTGAGAGGAGAAGTGGTCTCCCATGGGTGTGCCCTTATGAAGCCTCTGCCATTGGGTCTCACATTCCATGGGCTTTTCCTTCAAATGCTTTCTGAATGGAGCTCAATTGTTGAAATTTTGTTAATTCACAACTAAGAAGTTAACATTATGCTATCTGAAAATGTATTTCTGATAGATACTTACCCCCTCACACATTCCCACCTGTCCTTCTCACTTCTAGTGCACATTTTTTTCTTATCTCGTCTAATATTGAAGTTATCATGTGTGTAAGTGCATAGTGGGAGTTACTTACTGGACATGGAGATTGTGTCATCCTACTACTGGTGGAGGGCTATTATGACATGATGACATCATCATGCACCTGCACAGTTCACATTAAATATAAATTAGGTGGGAGTTTGCTCAAGGTTAGAAGAATGCAAATCTAATAGACAGTTGTGCAAGGAAAATAGCATTTCTGTGTGTAGAGTTGAGTGAGAATCTATTGGAAATACATTTTCAAATTAGGAAATATTAACTTATAAATGAAAGTGAAGAATATTGTGTAATAATATGTCATCCACACTGTACCTACTATATCCAGTGCTGACCAGCCCTTTTGCACATTACCAGGGTTCTTCAGGCTGGCTGGGATATGACAGACATAATAGTGGTTCGGACACTATTAATAATAGCAAACTATTTGACAGCTGTTTTGGTGTGAACTGGAATAAGTCTGATGTGTAACTTTTTCATCAATTTTATTTAAATCACAACACATCAGAATTAGGATAAGGATTTTATAGTGTTATATTATTTATTTACTTTAACAACATTATTTTTCACAATATCATGATTCACATGAATTGATGAATCAAAAACTAATATTCAGTTTGGTGATAAGATTGCTGGATAAAAACACATTTTTAAGAAGTTAGATCTACATTACAGTCATCAGTTATTTTTAAAGTTTAGAACAATGTCTGATTTCTATTTTGGAATATAAAAATGTATCTTGAATGGAAAAATATATCATATGAGTAGGCCTAGCTAGGAAAAGCATTCTGTGGTATAATTTTTGAAGGTTAAGAATTCATAAGAATGTTAAGTATAATATTAAAATATTTATTACCTAAAATAAATGATTTTTAAACAAATTATCTTGCAAGCTTGTATGTTAGATAAAACTTTAAAGGCTTTTCCATCAACATCATTCTTTTTTAGGTCATGAAACAAGAATAAAATCATGTTTAACATTGGAAATAAATTTTTGCAAAACATATATATTCAGCATTTTGCATTTATTCAGATCATACAGGAGAATGAATGTGGTTTTGTATTAACTTGAATGTTGATTGAAGTATAGAGTATGGTATTTTTGAGATTTTGAAGTTTAGAGATGCATTATAGCACTTAAATGTATTCTCTCTGTGTACATATATGAAGATGTGTAAAGTGTTCACTGTGTAATGTTGAAGTATAGGATTGTGGTGTAGTAATTACAGTGTATTTCATGTGGGTTTGTGTAGATGAAGATGTGTAAAGTGTTCACTGTGTAATGTTGAAGTATAGGATTGTGGTGTAGTAATTACAGTGTATTTCATGTGGGTTTGTGTATATGAAGATGAGTAAGGTATTCATTGTGTAATGTTGAAGTATAGGGTTGCAGTGTAGTACTTGCAGTGTATTTCATGTGGGTTTGTGTAGATGAAGATGTGTAAAGTGTTCACTGTGTAATGTTGAAGTATAGGGTTGCAGTGTAGTACTTGCAGTGTATTTCATGTGGGTTTGTGTATATGAAGATGAGTAAGGTATTCATTGTGTAATGTTGAAGTATAGGGTTGCAGTGTAGTACTTACAGTGTATTTCTTGTGTGTCTATAATATATATATATATGGTATGATGGATTTCTAGTGAATATCAAAGAATTCAGTATTTTGATTGTAACAGTGAATATTTATTTTTTGACAGTTTCTATCTTCATGATGATTGTTTTAAAACAGTTCAAGTTATGGGAGTTATACCTGTCATTTTCTACTAAGGTTCCTCTTTGTAATGCTATTACTCGGAAAACACCATATACACACCAAACTTAACTAAAACATTAATGTTGTACCACATTGTGGTAGGAAACATTTTTCAAGGACATCCTTTGAGAGA